CATAGGTTATGGGAAGCGTGTTTACCTCATGGACATGTTTGGATTTTGAATGATGGGGAGGGTTTGGGGTTGGCTACTTGTTTTTTTACTCACGCCTAATATGTTGATCTGTTTGCTTTCAAATTAGTGCCAGGCTCAGTGCCAAACACACAGAATATCTAAGTATATCTCAACTTACAGATCTCTAGTACACTGGAAATGTAAGCTGGTGTCATAGAATTCGTATTTGTCTTGGGGAATCACTTGCCTGGATGGCCTCCTTTTTTGGTGAGTTCATTGTGCCCTTGTCAAACACAGCTCCACACTTAAATCCCTGAAGTTCACTCGTGGGCCAGAAGCTTAGATCTTTGTATATCATGTCCCAGATACATAGTTCAAAACATCGTTCAGATCAGAGCTGATGTTCATTCAGTTGGCGCAAACATGCTGCATGTCAGGAAAATACACCCCTCATAGATCTTTGGTACTCAGCAAGGCAAAAGGAAGAGGGACTGCAAACTCTTTCATTTCTGTGGGAGGCTAAGGGCATTCAGGAAAAGAGTGATTTACATAAGTGGTAATTTCTTCTCAGTAAGTACTTTGGTGCCAACTGCGAGGGCTCATGTGACACTACAGATGTTCCAGTGTGGTCGCTTAGTCATGTCCCATTAATGACTGCTGTTATTTAAACAACGGTAAGTTCAGTGATGTAGTACATAGAATTTCATATGGCTGAGCAAATTGCTGAGGTGAATTTTGCCTACATGGACGTGGGAGAAATTTCGTGAGCTTTCAGAGATGCAAAAGAGTGAAATGTTCTCTTCACCTGTGTTAGAAGGGTCAGCTGAGAGATGCTTGTATCAAAAGAACGATTGGGAAAACTGAGGTACAGGCTTTGCTTCCCTGGCAGAAGTAGGAAGATGAATATGTGTCTTAGCCCAACTGCAGGGAGGACTGCTTAGAATGTAATTCCATCTGGGTTGTTTAAAGTACAGAGATAGCATTGCAACAAATAATATTCTCCCTACTTTGAGGGAAATTTATATGTGAAATATTTTCCTTCTTTGCAAGCTTCATTCAGCAAAATTTGAAATATTTGCTTCAGCTTGCTAAGAGGCAAGCTGGGTACTTGTTTTGTTCTAGTTTTATTACTATATCTACCTTCAGCCCAATCATTTTGAAGGCTGTTTAGGTGAGGGTTAGCACTTTTAAATCATCAATATTTTAAGAATAAGACAGACAATGACACATTTGTATATTAAGGCCAGGATCCCCTAAGCTTTTAGTGCAGATCAGATTGACTTGTGAGATTGCATTCAAAGATCACAGGAGCAACTCCTCCCCAGTACATGGATAAAAGGGACCAAAACATAATATGAATCTGTTACATGACCTGGCAGGTATGGACACAACCATTGTGTGACCAGACTGTTTTTAAATCTTTAACACCAGCTTGCTAATAACATTATTAGTGCAGTGAAGGGACGTGGTGCCATCAAGTGAGCCAGCCTCAGAAGCAGTGCATTCACAAAAATGCATGCCTTTCATCCTACTGCTTTTTCACATCCAAGGTATGACTAAAAAAAAAAAAGAGGTTGCAAGACCAGATTGGAATCTGAATAATTTTTTTCTGTTGTCTGTATTGCTGTTAATGACTACAGGATGTGCAACTCTGAATTTTAGTGATGGTATTATGAGCTGGTTTTGAGGTGATCTCATTGCTGTCATCTTCTAGAAGGATGACAATTTTTCTTGTCTTAATTAATATTTTTTGGCTTTATTGATTGAAGTAGTATAAACTGGCAACAGTATCAGTGAAAGCCTTTCCTCCATGACTTCTTCACAGACCTGTGATGAATTATCGCTTCTTAGTCTTTCAGAGTAGGTCTGATGCACACCAAAGAAGAACTACAGACTGGAGATAGTGGCCATGGCTGGCTGGTCTCCTTTAGGGGGAATGAGGTGAGAGGTACCTGTAAGAGTTCCACACTTCCAGGGGAGAGCATCTCTTGTGAAGCATTCACAGGGTGTGTGCACTGAGGGCAGGGTGTGGAAAAGTGCAGTGTACAGGCCTGGTCACCAACATGTGCAGAACAGGGAAAATAATTTCCCCGTTCATTACCCAGGCAGTGCTCCTGAACTGGCACAGCTTGCATTGTTATGCTAAGGAGAAAGGAAAGTTCACATTTGAAGATAAAATGGTCCTTTTATTTAAACAATCACACCGCTTATGTAACAGCTCTTTTAATGGTAAAGTACAGCTGGAGCCTGGAACATGTTGTTTACAGAAATGACACGTAATGGGGAACGATGTAAAGTGCAGTAAATGGCACTGAAGGCAGTAGGCATGGAGAGAGACCGGAGGCTGGGAACAGCGAGGATGTGAGTGCTGCCCTCCTGAAAGCAGAAGCTTGGAACCAGGCTTTTGTAAAGCAAGGGGAATGGGCTCTGTAAAGGTCATCAGAGGACTGGCCTAACGAGCTGCCACAGGAAAGGCAAATGGTTCTTCTCAAAGCAAGGATGGGAGAGGGAGAGGGCCTGAGAGACAGGAGCTGGCACAGCACAGACAGTGACCACAGGGAGAATTTCAAGAACTGGCAAGGGTAGAGGGGACTGTGACTGTAAAGACTTGATGTGACAAGAAAGAGGAGGTGGAGAACACAGAAATTATGAAGCTCTGAAACTTTTCACAGTAAGTTTACTGTAACTGTATTTTCATGTATAGGAGAAAGGCTGCTGAGTAACATCGCTCTTCTTTCTCTTGAAATGGTAACCACTGACTAATACACAAACATACAAAAATACACACACACTCACACCCACATAAACATGTAATTGCACAAAATTAGGAAAATTGCCTAACTTTCTTCTGAGATATTCAAGGTTTGACAAAGCAAGTTCTGACTCAGTGTTATCTGAAACAGGGAGCGTGGCAGTCAACCGATAGCATCTGCACTCCAGCATGTTCATTTTCCTTCTTTCCTTGAGACAGTTCATGACTTTTGTATGTGTCATGGCAAAAAAATAGAGCTAAAGTGTCATTCTTTAATAATATGTTGAACCAATTTGCTCAATTTGGAGTAAAAAAAATTGGACTTACAAACTGTTTGTTGTTTACAGCAAGCTCAAGGTTCATACTTAGACATTATATGAATGATGAAACAAAGTTGTAAATATTTATTACTTGGTGGAATCATATTTTTTTTAAAAGCATATCTTTGTACACAAAGCATTTGTAAATCCCCATTAGTGGTTTTTATGTTCCCACATCAAAATTCCTCGTTTGCAGCCAACAAAGTATCTTAGGCTTAGATCTTCCTCCTACACGTAGTGGAATCACAATGCTGTCACAGACATCACAACCAGTTTTGTAAAATATGATGTTAAGGAAGACTGAGTTCATTGTACTATACATATGTAAATGCCTCTCTTTCAATAGTCTCAAAGGAAAGAAGATGCCAGAAAGAATTCTAAACGAGCGTACATATTAATTGTCACCACCTTTCATGGGATAGTAAAGTGCATTCATACAAAGGAAAGCATTAAGAATCAAGGAGGCTGCATGGGGAAAGTGAGGGCATTTGACTGAGACTTAAGGAAGTCACAAGGTAAATTATAATAATCTAATTGCAATCCAGAAAATCACTCTTTCCTTGTTTGTGTTTGTAATGAGGTAATGATGCAGCTCCTCTGGCTTCAAACAGCCACTACAGATTTACAGCAGGCTACGGAAGATCAGGCAGCACAAGTTCTTTGTTATTGCCGTACCCCGACAAGGGTGTCTGAGTTCAGAATAGCTCTTGGTGTAATTTGCAGCAGTGAATGTGTTGCTCCTCTGGAGCTCAAACTCCTTTCAGTTTCAGAAGTGTGGGGAACTGGTTATCGCAGAGCACAATTAATGAGTTGTTGATCCTTTGTGTTTATGTGCCTGCATGGAGGCTTTTCAAATCTGGCTGTGGGTAAGAAATCCACAGTATGACTAAATAACTGGACTGAAAGTTTTGGAAATAAATTATCTGGACAGAAACGGCTACATGGATGTGCTTCTGAACAATAAAACTCCACTGAAAACCACTGTGTGCTTGAAGTAGGTGACCTCTCTCTTTGACTGGCATCTGCTCAGAGTTGAAATGATTAGAATTATGCACAAAATTAAATTTCCTGAATCAAAACAGGTAATGCACCAAATTCCCATCTACATACTATAATAAAGGGTTGCATATCAATGTCTGATAACTCCTACATAGCATGACTTGAAGGAGATTCCATTCCCAGTTCCACTGCTGTTCACTTAGGGACTTAGTTCTACCTGTTGCTGAGGCACGGCTGTTCACAAGAAATGAAATGCTGCTTGCCTGTATAATTTCCCACTGTGCAGTCTTCGGTCATCCTGTGCTGTTTCTCTCTTCTTGAGGATGCTAAATGAGTTGATATTACCTTAATGAAAGCATTGAAAGGGTGGTTAGTGCTGTTAGACTCCATATTTAAAAGCATTTTTTGAAATCAAAGTGAGTATCAGTAAAATATTCTCCTGTGGTTGTGGCTCCAATGACCAGTACAATGACTTAATTGGCATTCTTGTGCAGTGCTTGGATCTCTGCCAGTTAATGACCCATTGCTGCAGTCTGCAAATCACCTCTTCTGTCCCTCTCCTCAAGCTGATGGACTTTTGCCCAAGTAATGGCTGCAGGCTCCTATTCTCAGCTGGCACAGACCCCAGCACGACCATAAACATCCCTGAGAGGATCATAATATGATATATTGGACAGATTCTGATACGCCTTGCAGTAATATACCACCAGGCAATTCTGCTGAAGTCAGTGACTTTGCCAGTGGCATCACTGAAAGAAGAGACTGGTCCCTACACTGTTGCTTCCTCAAGTAACGAAGCACTTCCAGGCTCTCAGCTATTCTGTGTCCCTTTAGATGATGCAAGTTTTTGTGAACCCTTTGTCAAACATTCAAAATAGGTTTTATGTTTGTTCTCTTTTTAAGTGGTTGCGTTGTCTCTTCCCCCACAGGATTTTCTATTCTTCAGGCGATTATGGAAGCAGCAGTACAGAACAACTGGCAAGTGACAGCCAGATCTGTAGGAAGCATAAAGGATGTTCAAGAGTTCAGAAGAATTATAGAGGAGATGGACAGACGACAAGAAAAAAGATACTTAATTGACTGTGAAGTAGACAGAATCAACACCATTTTGGAACAGGTATATGCTTTTCAGAAATTGTGATCTCTCTGTGACAGACATTGTTAATATTCCCAGAACTGTCTATTTCTAGAAATTAATTAAGTGTCCATTGAGATGTGAGTCCCAACAGCTGCCCAGTTACCTAGTAAAATTAAAATGCCACAGTGATGCTCATAGTTGGTGGCAGCACTTACGTGTAACCTACCACGAAATGTCTCTGTGATATTTTTTCCCAGATGTTAATAATGAATTATTTTTAAGTAGGTTGAGAACCTAAAACCTCAGCTGCCAGAGTAACATTATTGGCATTGAGGCTGCTTGTAGGGATTGCAAGACAGGTGCAGTTTGTTAAGTGGAACATGAAACAAGAAGTAAAAAGCCACTGAAGTATCATAGAATGATCTTAAAGAATTCCCGAAAGAAAATACTGCTAATGAAAAATTCAGCTGGTAGTCCAAATGACACATTAGCACTTTTTGGTACATAAAGCCCTTCCCTCTGCACAGCCAGTGCTGTTGACAGGCCTAAATTGCGAGTGATAGAGTCTAAACACTTTTATGGGGAAGGATGCATTTGAGGTGACTGTTTTGCTCTTGTGTGGCCTTCCCAGTGTTTCCTTTGCCCCGGAGGAATGGCCATACCCTCTGGCCATCCCAGCAGGCTACCCAGAATGCCTGTGCCACTGGTTGTGCTGTGCAATGTGCTTGAAGAGGTGTAGTAACAGATACAAATCATTGGGAGCGGACACAGCACAGTTGCCTGCTGCCTGGGCTCACAGCAGAGCTGGTGTTGGTGTGAAACCAAATCCATGGTGCTTGGTTATTCGTAGGCATTTGGGAATTCACTTACATTAGGACTGAAAAACCCTCTGATTATTGCCACTTCATAAATTTAACTGTGGGTTTATATTATGGAATAGATCAAAAGTAACATTTAAATTTCATGAAGCATTAGCATATCTCTTAGAAATGTTATATTGTAAACTACCAGCAAACTGACCTCACTGTAATAAACCCTGGGAAATACAAAAAATATATTCATTGAGTTCCTTCTCAAAGTATTCAGTTCCTGTCAAACCTTGAGGTATATCACTGAGGGTCAGTCTGTGGGGGCAGCCAGATGCCAGAGCTGCTGCTTACAGAGAAAGGAAAGAAGTGCTCAAGAGAGCACAGCACAAGGTGATGCTGGTCTGTAACTCTGACAACTGGTACGGTTGTGATATTAATATGCAGCACTGCATTGTACACTGTATTTTTAGGCAATATGGTGAGTGCTCTCTTTAGGGAAATTCGTACTGTAAAATGTAAGAAACATCTCTTCTTCTGCAAAAGATGCAAAACACCTACCCACGGCCCACTCTTCTGCAAACACTGTAGGAGAGCGCTCCTGAGCCAAGCTTACATGAGGGCCCACTCTCTGCTGAGAAACAGGCCTTTTGTTTGATCTAACTCCATTTACATTTGTTCTCTCTTTCTCTTCTGTAATGAAGTGAGAGAAAAAAATAATCAAACCTTTCCAGTGCCTGAAATGAAAGCTATATACCAAGCAAACCATATAGCAAAAAACTGGGGACTCTTTTCTTCTGCAGCTATTCTAAATTCAACTCTAGTGAAGTTGTAATTTTATTAAATGGATGATTCAGCTTTCTGTCAATGTGATTAGCATCTGAGTAAGTAGAAATTTGCTACTGGGGCCTCCAGGCTTCCCCAAATTCTACAGTACACACTGATGCCTCTGATGCTAAAAATATCTTCTGTTAACAATTTCCAGAGGTTTTTTATTGCATACTGAAAAACAGTGACTTAAGTTTCTGCAGAGAAAGTCAGTAATGGCGGCCCCTAGGTTGATAGCTTAACAATTATTGGTTTTAGGCTTTTCCTTCCATCTCCTCTGCTTACTTTGTTATCTTCTCATAAAGTAGTTAAAAGTTTTCACACATATGTGTGGTACTTAAATCCATCCATCCAGCTTGCTCAAGGGAGTGGAGAGTTGTCTTTTTTTTAGCCAGTTGTGTTTGCTGATAGCATACCATTGAGGGGAGAGATAAATCTGGATTTGCATATTTCAAATCTAGCAGTTTATTGCAGTTTAAAAAGTCAATTCCATGGTGCTATGTGTGAAGTCTAGAAAGTCTGCTTAGCTGAGAGGCAGTAACATCAGAGCACATTTCCACATGCTGATGCACAATTGCAGCTGGGTTTGAATAGCTTTCCTCCAGTGAGAGCAAAGGGAAGCCAAGACTCTCTACCTGTCTGTACTGATGTCAGAGAACTGATGGACAGACTGCCTCCCAGAGGGTTAATGTGGGCTGCCTCAGCCAGCTGCCTTTCCATTCCTCTCCCTTTTTTGGCCTCCTAGGAGCACATCTTTAAGATCGACCCTCACATCACCTGGGAGTGATGCCTCCCTCCCGAGAGGGTGTTTACGTGGTCACTTGGGACTGTGTGACACCTGTCATTTCATTGTCTTTGGGACAACAGTAGCATTTGCCAGTGACCCTGAATTTCAGAGGCTTAAATAGAACTTATCCAAGAACAAAAGTCATAGCAGAAATAAACAGACTGTAAACCACTGAACAGTCTATACACACACTGAGTTTGCTATCAGACTTTTGGGCTCTCGACCAGGCCATTCAGCAAGCTTGTCAGTTCTCTGCTCCAGAAACTGTGTATCATGGCTCTGTGTTAGTGCTTGGGTTAAATAGGAGTGACCTCTTTTCCTGTATCAGGCTGGTCACTGTGTGCAGTTCTCTTCCTTTGATGCTTTTTTCAACCGGTTCAGATGGGGGTATACCTCGCTTCCAAAAGTTCAGGCTCATCTAAAGACAATTACACATCTGAGGATTTTCTTCAGAGACTCCAGATTGTTCTGGAATATTCTGTACCTTCCTCCAGCGATGTACAGACATGTGAGTCAGTGACCTTGAGTATTCCATAGGCCTTTAGTACAGATGCTAAATCTGTATGTTCCTATGTTTCCAAGATCTGTAACCCATCATATGAAGTATTTCTCTCTTCAGAGCTGGCTGGTACCTGACCTTTCCCAGCTATAAATGTAAGGTAGGGGAAAGAGGGCACCTCAGCTCCTGCTTTACCTGAGTAACCTGTTTAGTGCCAATTTCACTCTGCCAACACATCTGTTTTCATTCCCCATTCAGATTATTTTGTGATGGGCCTTATATTTTGTTCTAGAAGTGGAAACCCTGCTCAGATCTCTTCAACTGCAGAGTAAGGGGAAGCAGAGGGATTAATAGTTATTCTGTAAGTTACCATCTGTTTGTTCACTTACCCTATAGTTCTATAACCACTGAGCATGTGGATCTATATCCTTCCTTGCACAACAAAACTATATCCAATTTAATCATCTAGTGGCCTCTCAAGCATACAGATACCAACACTTATGTCATGCAAAATTCATAAGCTCCCCACACTTCTTGTCCCTTGATGCTAAAATATTCTGTATTCCTTCACAGATAGATACAAAATTTTGTTCTCATAAACAGAAGAACATTTTCTTCTGAGAGCTAACAGTAAGCTTTAGCCTGTTCAACCGTGTATTTAGAGACATGTTTTTGAGTTAAGAAATATGTTTTTCTTATTCCCAGGATAATAAGCTGTATTTCAGACTAGAATGGCTTTATGTCCATTTAGAAGAAAATCTCCTGAGGGAAAATGAGGAGGGAGAAACTCCATTCAGGATCAAAATGGTGAAACTTTACAAAAGACCTGTTTGTTCCAAAGACCGCATGCTTTTGTCAAAAGGACATTATCTCCAAACATAGTCATAAAGGTTAGGCTCCAAGGAAATATCTGTATCGAGTGAAGGCATCTCACAAAGCAGAAGCAATATTACAGTAGGGAATGCAGTCCCCAAAGTTTTACAATGACAGCCAGACTGTCAAAGACGACTTAAAGTGAAGCATCTGTAGGATTATGAAGGGTAATCTGATTGACTGAACTCTGTCCTGTGCAAGCACCGACTGTGACTTGACCTTCAAGTCTGAAATTTTGAGATTAGGAAGATGGTGTGCAGGTTCTCAGTACAGCCACAGCTGCATCTCTCTGCAGAGCTGCTCAGATCTCAGAGGAGTGTGCTCACTGCACAACAGCTTTCACACTGAGGGTGTCGTAAGAATAAACGCAAAACTGTAGTATTCGGTTGACCAGTAGTCATTAAAAATAACAAGAAATAAGGAAAAATGTAATTGAAAAAAATCAACACCACTGTCATGTAAACTTCCTGCTTTAAATGTTCACTTATAAACAGTCTGGTGGGGGTTTGCCTGTGTTCTCTGCAGCAATTTAAAATATAACTGCCTACAAACACAGTGGGACACTTAAAGCAGGAGCAGAGCTATGAGTAGCTGTAGCTTCTGCTTGCTTTTGAACCCCAATAATGCCATGTCATCTGAGGGTGGCACACCACAGAGCACACCCTCCAGAGCAGTGCATCCCTGCCGCTTTCTCCAGGACTTGGTGCCATGGCCATGTCAGAGTTGGATTTTATCCTCTGTCTGAAGCTGTGTAGAGCAGAGAAGGGGGTTCAGCTGAGGCTCCAAGAGAGTATCTGCTATGTACAGTGTTGTGTAACATCACTCTGAAACTGGTACAGTTCATTTTTACATTTCCAATGAACTAGAAACTTAAAATTTAGGACATTTCTTCATTAGGTACCCATGAGTATTGTTGAAATCAGGATCTAAAGCAGAATGAAAGGTCACTTTTTTCTCTTCATGTCCAGAAAGTTTCAGCAGCTCACAAGTCCGTATGGGCATGTGGGGAGGAAAGGGGAAGTACTTAGGTCAGTCACCCTCAGGACTGTAGCCAGTGGAAGGGTAAGTTAAAAATGGGTATACGTCAAAAGTGACAGCTGTATCTGCCTTGAAGGGCCTGCTCCTGTCAACTGTGAAACTCCTAAAGGGCAGGAGATGGATTGGTAAAGCAGGGAAAAGTAACATCTTGGGTTAATCTGCCCCACATATAGCACATTTCACACATACCTGAGGAGAGAATTTCTAG